CAGCTGTGATGCACTACAAAATCTGGCGGTTGAGTTAAATAGACCAAAATACAGAACATTCCTGATGGCTTGTTCTAACAACAAACTTTGCTGAATGTTCCAGTTAAAATGATCAAGATGTCTGGGGACTGCCGTAACATTTTTAATATTAAGTTTAAAAAATATTTCAGAAGCTGAGGAAAAGAAGAAACAAAAGTAAGAGATAATGATTAAATAAGAAGTTTGTGACAGCATCCGGACATTTGCTTTTTTTCCTTCCATACTCAAGTGAAATCACATTTGATTGTGTTGCAGGTGCCATGCTGTGTCACTGCTCTAACCCGCTGATCCTACTGCGCTGCACACTTTCAGGGCCAGATCTACTCTCCTGTTGATGCCCATGGACTCCTCTCATTAAGATTAATGCGAAGTAGGCATGGACATCAGCGGGAGAATTAAATGAATGTTTAGCTGTTACTGAGAATTCAGCTTCAGGAGGAAGTCAGTCTGCCTCACAAGTGACAAGCCATGATTTTGAAGACTGCTTTAAACAGGACAGCTTTTTTTTCCTCCAGAGAAGCGTGACGAATAAGTAAGGGCTTGAAACAACTCTCAGTTAAATGAAAGGGCATTCTGCTGTTTGTTTCAAGTTGGAAGAGCTCAGGCCAAAAGGCTTCCCCTCAAACCTCATTCTCTGATTTTATCACAGACTTTTTGTTAGAACTTGTATGCTTGAGCGACCTGTATTCAATTCCTACATTAAAATGTCTCCCTCAAAGAAAAAAAGTGTTCTTCTGCTTCACTATATTAAAACTGATGGTTTGCATTTCAGGAATCTTAGGGAGTTGGACAGGTCACAGAAATTTTGCACCAGTACCTTATTGTAAAAGGTGCAGTGCGCCTTTGACTTCTAAGGTCCAGTGCTTGCCACAGACAGCTTCTCAGGGTGCTGGGGAGTTTGCAGGAGCAAGTCATTAGGGAGGAAAGAGAATAAATCAGTAACACAAATTTTAGACAACAAAAAAAAATTCTCCAAAGGTGTGAAAAATGGGAAGGTACTGATGCTGGCACTGCATCTGCCATCAGGAATGGTTGCAAAAATTTACAGGTGAAAATATCTCCTACAGTAAATGCCATAAAATCTGTTTTCAGCTCAAGTATTCTCTTAATTCATAAACAAAGTTCAGCTTCAGTAAGAGCACATACATAAGAGCACATACATTCATTCCAAGGGCTCACCAGATTTTGAAATCTCATTATTAATGAGGCTAGAGGATTTTAATTTGATTTAGAAATTATGTCATATTTCTCTAGCAGCAGAACTTGCACCTTCCCTAACTTCCGCTGTGGCAGTCAGACCTTGCAGTGTGGTTACAACGTGGATGTCTGAAGTCCTGAGCACGAGGCAGCACCCACAGGGACCAAGCTTTGGATCTTACCAGTGCTATCCTCCTTCCCCGTGCCACCTGGCTGAATGGGAAACAGAAGCATGGCTCTGCCGACTCCTTGCCTCCACGCCTGTGGGGGACAGTGATGGCCTGCAGATGCTGAACAACCCCTCACCCTTCTGCGAAATGATTTCATCCTTGCCTCTACTGCCCTTCACGATCTTGCCCTTACCACAGAAAGGAACTAACCAACTTTTTTGTATTTATAATACTTTAAGAAGACCTACATAAAATGTTCTAAACATTAAACCAAATAGATCATACGCAGAAAGGATGCAATATTTTCAAGAATAGAATCTGTAAGAACGTCACTGTTCTATAATTATTTAAGGCTACACTGACAGGAAACAGATTCAATTCAAGAATTGTAATCTCTACATGGTATATTGGCACACAGAAAAGTAATTAATTTGATAAACTCCTCCAAGTACTTGCTGTACTTTTGAATAAAGGTAAACAACAAAAAGCTATGGAAAAAAAGTACAGACGACTCTGAGGAAAATACAAATGCCTCTAATTTGTTTCCGACACTTTGTTCTTTAGAAATTCTGTTCCATGACCTAACTGAATGCACAAAACCACTCTGTATTTATAGGTTCTTATGCAGGGTTGAAAACCCCCGGTATCTAAAGGCAGATTTCAAATACAGAAGTATAGGTTTGCATAAAGCAATAAGAAAAACAAAATTACAAACAAATCATAAGAATGGGATCTAGGAAGAAAAAACAACATGACAGCTACTGATACTATAACTAATTCATAAAAATCCCAGAGCAAATCCAATTACTGGTGTGACTCATTTTGCATGGAAAATCCGTATTCTACAGCCTCAAAATTAAACATTCGTTTCCATTCTTTATACATCCAGTTCCCAGCCTTAGTACTGTATAAATCCAAGTAAGCCAAACCACCTTCTGTGAAGCACAGACTCGACCTGGATACCTTGGGAAAAGTCACACTATCTAGAAAGAGATTCCGCTTCCCAACAGTGGCCAACGCAGACTACTATAAATCTCTGCTGTGTCTAAATTAAGATTTCACTGCCTTAGAAATCTGAGTGGTTAGATGTAAAACTGAAGCAATGCAACCTCAGACAGAAACCTGAGTCATGACGCAGTTCAGTTCAGTTTGGTTCTGTAAGAGGTTATTTGCTGCACCTTCCCAACTGACTTCTTCATTTGTTCAATGGTGATATTAAGTATATCTGCCACTGGAATTAATTTGCTCAGTTCTTGCTATTAAATACTGTACATTATTTTATAAAGCAAAACCTGTACAAAGAGACAGCCATCAAGAGAGAACTTTCCGCTTTAGGAAAGAGCATCCAAATATCCACAAATAGAATGAGTAAAACCACTTCCACATTCATTGAAAAATTGCTTTTGAACAGCTTCTAAGTCAGTGTTTCTATTATACAGAAAGCTGAAAGGATTGGGAAAATCTGAGCGTTTTCCTTATGCATATAACATTAATACTCATTTTTTATTAAATTCTACACTCAACATTACATTTCACAAACTGAGCAACAAAAAGGACCAAAAGAGACAACTTGTATTGTATTACTGCAAGACCACTCCTGTTTAAAGAAATTTTTTGCATTATTTGTATTTAGTAAATAAAGCTTCTGTAAATGAAGGAGCAGCGCAATACCAGGGAAAAAAAAAAAAGGCCTGTAACAATGTTTTAAATCTTTAAATCAATAAAAATGGAAAGCCTGGCTCTGCAAACAAACCCTTCAAAAGGCACCAAATAAACCAAGAAATGGAATTACAATATTCTTTAAAAAGGACTTAGTGAAATTGTTAAGTAGTGTGAGAATTTGAGAACCATATGAAATATCTTTATTATAGCATACTCACTGTCTCCAATCTCACTGTACTTGACTCTGTATATCCTAAAGCCAGGATTGTTCAAAGGTATTATAAAGAAATTAAAGAGAAAAAATCTGTCCTAATGAGAATGCTCTAGGCTACCACTAATTCTCTTAAAAAAAATCCGAAACTTCACTCTTCTACCCACCAAGTGCTACAACAGTCAGTGAATTCCCATATTAGTAAGACATCACCATCATTTATAAGAAAGAAAATTGCTTGCTTTCCATACTGCAACAGTTAAAAGTAAATGAAACCTATAATTACAGGCAAAAAGAATATTTGAATTGGGAAGCTTTTTAAAAATATGCTTAGTCAATAATCCACAATTTCAGTAATACAAATTAGATTCAGCAGTCAGTAAATTAGTGTGATTCCAGTTAAGGTATTTGGGACAAATAGGAATCTCAGAAGCACTGATATTTCCCCAATTTCAGTGGAAGCCATGAGTGTTTATCTGATGGCAAACTTTCTCATGACGCTGTGGCTTTTCAACTGTGTCTTTAGAAAGCTGTGTTTCCCAACCTGAGCACAAGCAAAGCAAACTTCTATTTTGGGTGTGAACATTCATTCAATTGCTGGCAAATCGCTAGAAAAAATAACTTACTGAGGTTCTCTTCTCCGAGAAGAAAGGTAAAAACTCCTGGTCCGCTCTCTACTTCCAACAAACAGTATATGGTAATCCCTAAAACAGCTCAGAAGAGACTCAAATGGATACCTATTTCAACCAAAGCCATAGTATTTCGCATTCATTCAGAGTAGTTCAACTGCTGCCACTTCCTTCACAATCTTTCAACCTAAATTCCCACTGCTGACATTTTAAAGAGATCCGTATCGATTTGTTTAACGAAAATATATTTTAGTAAAGTCGTGCTCTAGGAGCTTCCTACATTGGAATACATGAATACAGGAAGTGCTTTCAACAGAAAGTTACATAGTTTTACAGTACAACCTGTCTAAGGAGATTTGGAAGGGACCAAACTAATGATCTGGTCTCTTTGGATTAGGCAGAAGTACAGGCAAGAGGGAAAAACCCAATTTATGCCATATATAGAGCTCGTTCCTATCACAGATTGAAGAAACATTAGTTTGATGTCAAAGTTCACCTGATGCCCAAATGCTAGTATTTTTCAAACCAAGTGCATATCAAACAATGAAAACGTACTTGTACTAAGCTCCTGGAAAGAAACTCAGTGTAAAACAACACTATATTCATATTTGCTATATTACTGAGTGTTCTCCACCAGTGGGGTTTGGTTTTTTTCCTTTTGCTCTACAGATCATTGACTTTTTCTCAAAGTGCAAATTATTGACCTTTAATCTGAATGCAGGCAGGTCAGAAGCTACAGTATTAGAGCAATACAAAAAGTACACAAGGAGGAGCTGACATTAATTTGGAGAACCTTACATAAAATGTTTCTGAATTGAAAACCACAAAACAAACCCAAACAAATACAGCATCAGGTGGATGGGGGAGGGACTGCTAATGTATCTGTGTACAGCAAGGCTTCTCTGACACCACAGAAGTGTCTGACAGTAAGTGAAGATTATATATTATCTCCCACCATTTTGCATGTTATGCATTCTTTACGATGGAATGTTGACCTCGATTTTCATTTTTTACTTCCACAACAAATCTGTTGATTGTGACCGGAGATGATATCTTCTTGAGAGACCAAACTCCCTTAAGCCCATGACTGTACTTTGTACCGTCCATTACGATTCTAGTAAAGTATGCCATCTACATACTTGCTGTCCTTTAGATTCTTTCATTTCAGTCCAGTGATTGAGTTCATCTTCTCCTGAGCTGTTGAGACCTAAGGAAATCCACCCTATCATTTCTTTCCGTTTCATGCTGCGCTTATTATATACAGACAGTATGAGCGTCACATCGGACAGCTGAAACAGTGCCACTTGGAAAACGAAGGTTTCTTTGTATACTGGATTTGGCTGGCCTCGGCGGATTGAAGTTTTGCATTTGGACATCTCTTGCCCCATCGAGTTCAGCAGTGTTAACTTAACATATGTATCTACAAAATAAATCATATTTTGGAATGTCAGATATCTTAGAACAAAAGTTTTTGAGAACAAGATATTTACAAGGCACGAGGATATGGTGTATACCAGGCTGACTGAACACAGCTTAGTTTAGACACATGAAAAGATGAAAAGTAAGCAAAATATTACAAACACAGTAACAAAATTAACTAGTTTCAGGACTTTGTAAATGGGTTAAGTTAAAGGTATACCTCATAATCCTCTTCCCGTTGACCCCCTTTATTTGTTCTAAACAAACTTAAATTGCATTAACACTTAGCAAGCTCCAACTAGCCACAACACTGTAAAGCATACCACTGAATTTTCAAGGAATAAGAATAAACAAAGTAGAATGAAGGCAACTAATGAAGAGAAAAAACAAAACAAAACTAAATGCATTGATGTGCAGTGATGATACCGAAACAGCCAGAATGAAATGCTTGAGAATAATCTCTGCATGGATGTGGTTCTCACTTTGGACTTTTCAATTTTATTTTTATTTTAAAGACCAAAATGTAGCAAAGTGCATTCAAAGGTAGAAGTTTACACAATACAAACCCCCTCTTAATTCCTAGATTCAGGAAGGAATACATTTAATACACCTTTGAAGAGAAATAAGATTTTGCATCATTCAATAGGGTTGTTTAAAACATAGCTTGTACAGTGCCCTTAGTAAATACATTTAAGAAGCTGATGCAAGTAAATGTGGTTAGCACACATTGGGTGTTAGTATTTGGGTATAAACCTTGATTTTTAAAGCTCTCTTTTCATTGGACTAGAAGCACCAAGCCATGCTCCTGCAGAAGGATGCGCATTTCATGAAGTTATAACTGATTTTAAGAAACATAAAACTGTATAAAACAACCTTTTTTTTCCATTCTTTTTTTCCTGCACTATTCATGTTAATGAATAACATTATTAAAAGATTGGAGTTTATGTAAAGAGAAACACATTGAATATTTTCACTTTGCAGGTACACTGAAATCCCAACATCCATAATCAGAGATAAATGCAACTTTTGCATTACAGAGTGTATACATTTATAAACCAATATGGTAGGCAGCCGTGGATAGCTTTACTGCTGGCAAGTTTTCTTTTGCATGAAAAAGACAACATCCAATTAGTTTCTACAGGAACTCACCTCGGATTATATAAACCTGTCCACCTATCAAGTGTTTTAGACAACAGAACAGTCCATCTGACAACAGGGGGTGGAAAGCAGTAAAAGAAATAATGACCAGATGTCAATAGTTGGGTGAGAGAGGATCAAAGGTTAAAGTTTAAGAGGAAACACTATTCATTGGAGTGGAAGAACACAAAACCTTAGCAGCATAGATCAGAAAAAGGAATGAACAAAAGGATTGTTGGGTAAAATTTAATGAAATGAAAATTTTGTGCAGTTTTTGTGTAATCTTTAACAAAAATTACACTGCTTACATAATGGGCTATCTTAGCACTAAGAGCTACTGAGTTCTAAAGCACACTAAACATAGGAAGAATCATGCAAATGATTAGGTGATAGAAGACTGGGTAAAAATCACTGTATCCTTTTTATCAAACCTTATGCTTTTTCATGCAAACTCCAGCATATTAAGAAAAACTGCACACAGTAATTATACTTCATATATTAAAAGCAATAAAATGAAAAATCACTGAACTGAAAACTAAGCTGGTTTTACCCTTAGCTCTTACAATTACAGATAGTTGATTGTAATACTTTAGTTCTTGAGTAGTGATGGACTTGGGCACAAGAATGACTCTGAACTATTCTCTAAAAATAGCTGAGAGATTCTTACATCTGAAATTCAACTATGGGTCTCTAAAATGTAATGATCTCACTTGTTAAAATCCATGTATTTATGGATTTTATGTGTGTTTGCATGCATATTCACACATGCATTCAATGTGCAAAAGCTTGTACCCTGTTTCAACAAAATTTTAAAGGATACTAAGAAGCATCTTTTTCTCAGACAAAATATTAACTGTCACGCAGAGAAATGAAGACACATTCTAACATTAAATGTTATTACCTGGAGGATTTGACCTATTTGCCTGTATTCAGTTGCTAAATGAGTTACTACAGAACATACAAATATGCAGCAGAGGAGTATATACTACCAAGATGCAGAAATTTAGGACTCAATCCGTATTTGCTGCAGAATCATTTCATAAAAATTGCATAGGTTCACAACCCCTAGACTACCGAAAGGATATCGCATGTGGGAAAGAATAATTGCTCCCCTTTCTGTCATAGCTTCTCAAGACCTGAATGAAAACTGACCTGGGCATGTACTTTGCAGCACTTCCCAGGATTTTGGACCACTGATGGTCCAAACAACAAATTTGATCAGAGCACTTCATCATTAACCCTATGGGCCTTTTCATTTTGTGGAAATGATGGCACAGAGAGAGGCTGGTACATGTCCATGATGCAGTTGAGAGGGAGTTAGAAAACGGCAGTGGTATGCACCCAGGTCCAGGAGTTTACAAGAAGGTGCTATCACTGCTGGGGTGGGGGTGGGAGGGAGGGGGACGGCACAAAACAGCCCACAGGAGAAATTTGGATTCCACAATATTCTGTGCATGGTCTTACCAGACCCAGAAAGCGCATTAGTTTCCAGCTTTCTAGAAACTGCATTTGCCTAAACAGAACTGGACTATTATTGTTATGAATATCAGAAGTTCCCCTTATCCATCACAGGGGATGGCAAAATGTAACACACAAGATCTTCGCTCCAAAAAGGTTAGACAGAACATGGTATTACAGGGCTATGTGCCATGTTCTATGTGCTTTCTTGCAATCTGAAACAGATTTTTGACCCCAGTGACACAGACAGATGTTAGCTAGACAGCACGGGCCCACAGAGCACATTTTGGGAATTAACGTGCCAGGGAATGAACATATCTGTCTTCAAAACAAATACTGAACCCCTATCTAACTTGTATATTCTAAATATTAAGAAAAACTTGGCTTTCTCCAGAGATTCCAGAAAGACAAGCATAAGCTACCTATTGTTTTTTGCTTTAAGGGAACACATGGTCCCTTCTCTCCAGGTCTTCTCTCCCGTTCACTCCTTTCCCTGCCCCAGCGTCCTTGGGCCTTCTTGGTTTTCCCCATCTATTTCTATGGCTTGTCTCCAAATAGGTGACTCTGGGGCAGCTACCTAATTATATAAAAGTATTACAGATTCTTCTTTTGCCTTCCTTCTCTGGCCATGTTAAAGTCTGGCTCCATCAGTGTGAAAAGTATAGAGAAAGCAAAGCAGAGTAAGGCTGAGCCAAATGTAATTAACAAATGGAATAAAACATGGGTCAAGAAAGGAAGAGGAGAGCATCAGTCTCAAGTTGTTTGGCTTACTTCCTAAACTCTGAAGACAAAGTGAGATGTGCAAACCACTTATAAAATGTTGGCAACCTGCTACATAATCTACTAGTGTCAGGTAATCTGCTAGCGCCACACAAAGCTGGGGATTAAGAAACAGAAAGAGGGTCTGAAACCTGAGCCTCCAGACAAAGTCAAGAGGAACAGGTAGGTATGTCTGGCTACAACTTGTGTAAATCAGACTCACCATCTCAAAAACAATAAAAACCAATTTTTAAAAAAGTCCACTACTGAACTTGCTCGAGCTATATCAAAGAATTAGAGGCAGTAAAAACATTCTGTGTGTGTGACACTCCATCTGGCTCCAATTTAAAAGTATATAAAGTTCACAGATACTTCAGACAAATGTATTTCTGAACAAATGCTTGAACACACAGTTCAAGTCCTTTCTGATGACGAACATTCCTTCTGCACAGTAAATATGCCAAAGGTCTCAATTTGTTTCTCCATTGTCTTCACTGACATTCCCAAGTAACATACATTACTACCACATATACACAGGCACACAAGCAATTAAAGACTGCAGTATCAACTCCTCTAGGAACAGGAATAACTGTTCAGAATGTTTATATTAATATTAGCTGGCATGTACTTTCTCTTTAAACACCAACTTTTTATTCTTGGCCTGTGATGTGAGGCATTAGTAGTTTAGCAATTAATCATTATGATAAAGGTAATTTATTAATCAGTCATCATGAAAAATTAAAACAGTCTTGTCAACTTACAATTAATATTTTGAATTTTAGATTTTTGCTAGTTCCCAACTGACTAGAAATATAAAACATGAAACAGATTAGTTGATGATTGCTGTATTTCATTTTGTTTGGGTAAGACTAAATGATAGGATTGAAGTCCTTGCCACCGAGAGCCCCACCAGTACAGAAGAATTAGGATGAAAAAAGATTTTCACTCACTGGGTGGTCTGTTCGCTGCCAAGTTTTTGAAGTGGCTGCCTTTTATCACTTCTGCTGATAATCTTCCAGTTGTAGCATTATAAAGGAGGCCAATGAGGATTTCTGGAGCTGAGCCATGTACCAGAGACTGACAAGAGGAGGTACTTTCACTGCAGGACACTTCTGACATGCTCATTTGAGAGTCACAACCCTATAAAAGAGATTAAAAGTTCTAGGTATTTTATGCAACGATGTTACTGGGAAGTCAATTTTTAGAATAATGCATAGAGAATTAGGAAAGCAATGTACTGACAACAACAGAGGTTCCATTCGATCACCCAATAAGAAATGTACATCCTTAATATACACTCAGTTCGCACACATTAGAGGTAACAAAGACTAAAGTGGTCTGGAATTAAAATAGTTCTTAATTTTGTGTTTCTGTTGCTTTGTAATTCAGGAGAAGTTATAGCAGGAGATAAAGAGCAGCCTTTATGGTCCTTATTTACTTCAGTTGCTAAGATAAGACTTGTAACATAATTTGTCAGCATCCTGGAGAACATTAAACCCTGGATCTTTTACTTTCCAAAAATGGAAAACACTAGTGCAACTTTGAAGATAACAAAATGCAGGAAATTCTTATTCATCCTTTGTAAAGGTTATTCTCTAGACTGAGAATTTATGAGTAGCAAAATAACAGAACACATGCAAATAGAAAAATGCACTCTGTCTAGAATAAATTAGCTTACAAGGAATTTAATTGATCCAGGGATACAGAATTGTAATAGACTCTTTGTCTTGGGTGGGAAAGGAAGAATGCCATCCTACGGCTCAGCAAGTGATGCTTTAAGTTCTACCCTACAAGCTTCCAAAAAATTCAGCTCTCTCATGCATTCTCACCATGTCACATCTTTGACGGGAGCTTCTAATATTCATTTTTATTCTTTTAATTCCTCATTATTGGCCTTAAAAAAAGAAAAAAAAAACCAACCCAGACTAATGCTAATCATACCATAGTTGTTCCTACTTCTATTTCTTGATTTCGTGCACTAGCGCATAGAGGTGTACCACTGAAAACAAGAAACCGGATGGAATCTAGGCAATGGCAGGGCAATTTGTTTGGTAGCCAGGAAGAGACTTTTGAATTATCAGTACATCCCTTTTTTGATTCTCTCAGAAAAAAACATAAATTGGATCCACAGATTTTTCAAATATGGCTTGACTCATTTGGGAATCTGGCAGCACTCTTTCAAGGAGTCATAATGATTTTGTGAAGCTGATTCTTCCAGATTCCAAATGTCTCTATCATTTCCAGCAACAGCTGACATGGGCACGAGATCAGTCCTAAAACCTAAATAGCACAAATCCTCATCGAGATAAAAGTTAACTTTAAAAGCAAGTAACTTAATCTGACATATAAAGTCCAAATGCATTACAGAATCTCAAATTATAGGATACATGATACCTACAAGAAGAAATTATGAATCTACAATAATATCCTTCATACTGACATTTTAACTAGTTCTTCTCAATAGAGTATTTCCAACAAGTCTGGCAGAAGTTTCAAGTAGCAATCCAGTTCCTCATTAATAAACTTTCACTCTCATTAGCAAAAGTATTCTTATTACTAGAGAAGGACCTCAACAAAATTCTCTGACTTCCATCCCCCAAGCTGCAAATTCTCAATTTTAAATCTTTGTTATTTCTCCAAAAGTTCTTCATTCAATTCCAAGAATAAATTTCACACGGGTTGCAAATTGTAAATCGCTGAAAATGAATTACAAGTATACATTCATTCTCTGGTTCTTGGCACTCACAAACCGGGAAACTTTTGATTCCTAACTTCAACAGTAGACTACAAAATGGAAAGTTTAAAAGAAAGATGGCTTGATTCAGCCAGTCCCAGTACACACTGCACACTTGAAAGCCTTAGCCTGTCACAACTGCAGCTAATACTTAAGTTTTCCAGTCTTTAAAAATTGTAACACACTATCCCTATGGTGCTTATTCATCTTATTATTTTGTTGGGCTAGGAATTTAACCACAGTCAGCCTGATACTGTGCAAAGCTTAGGTCTCAAATTTGATTGTGATCATGCTGCAAGTCCGCAAAAACAACGTAACACAAAGCGAGCAGCTGGGTAGCACTCCCTCGCAAAGCAAAGGCCGTTGACATCTGTACCGAGAGAAGGTGATGGTTGCGTTTTTTCCTAATTGTGACTTATTTGTACAGTTTACTGATGTTCTGATAGGGACTCAGTCTAAATCAGTTTATGACAGAGTTTAACTGATTACAGTGGGTATCAGAATACGGTTTAGAATGCTAGAAATAGTAAATAGTAAATGAGCGATGACTGGGAAGGAATGAGTCCTGAAGTACCTTGAAAGGGAAGACAAGTAGCTCCTGTATGATATAATAGAGAAGGGGGAAAACAACTGAAAAATGAAACAAGTACGGTATTACAAAGTTACATAAGGATGGGCTAGAAATATCATGCCTTTGCAGCAGAATCTTGAGTGGATGCAAGAATGACAAGATTGCATTTGTCAAGGCCAGAGAAAAGGATCTCACCAGCTGGAAAGGTGGGCTGAGAAGACCTAGGGGATGCTTCAGATCTGTAAATGGATGGAAATACAACTATGTGGCTGTACCTTAGAACTGCTGCACAGAAAGACTGGGTAGATGTAGCCTTGATGAAAATCTGGAGAGAGGGTCTAATGTAAATGTTTTGCTACAGTAGTTTCTAAACCAAAATATTTTGCCTTTTGAGACAGGTGGCAGGTTTGAAACAAACGAAAGTATGTTGTTTAATCCTTAGTGTATAATAAACTTCTGAATCTCCTTCCTACAAAATGTTGTGGTAACAGAAGTTTAAAGACATTAAAATAAAGCAACCAAATTCACTGAAGAAACAATCTAAACAATATGTTGGTTTCTGTTTCACATTAAAAAAAAAAAAAAGACTCCAACCTGGTTTGTTTCATGCTGACCCAAATATATTTTAAAAAATAACTCTACTTTTCAGTTATGAACTGGAAAATCCTAATACAGAAAAAAGTGAGAGGTTAAGAAGAAAAACGAAGCAGTGAGGCATGAAGCAGTGAGGCGTGAAGCAGTTCAGAAGACAGACTGATGTTACTGGGTAAAAACAGGGTTAAATGACATACACTAAAGAATAATTTCTGTGTCTATGATAAGGGAGAAAACAGAGAATTTGGGGGCAAGTAGATAAAAGACATGAGAAAAAGGCAAAGTTGCATTTTGTCAGTTTTCTTTTGAAAGAAAACAGAAGGATCCTATGAGGAAGAGAAGACGAAACAGCAATAAGGGAAGGTAAAGAGACAGCGGAGATCAACAGGGCTCAGGTCAACAGCTGAGGGAAGACTTTCCATTGCAGGACAAAGCTAAAATCAGGGATACTGAGTATTGTTAGATGTCTTCTCCAAAGTATTTTGGAGCACAGAGATTATTGCTCACATTGTGAAAATCCGCTCATTGTTTTAAGTAAGATATTCCATGCCAACCAATTCTGTTGGTAAGTAACCCAACTTTGTGTTAAGTCCATAAGCTGCACTAGAATTGAAAAGAACAGTTTTTCAAGTCTCTGTTTAGAGGTGTTTTTCTGTCTACATAGTCAAAATTCAAGAAGAGTGCTAACAAATTCATCGAGAAAAAAGCAAGACAAGGAGTTACATTTTTACCTGCTCAAAATACAAGCTTCATGATCACGTGCCAAATTGTAAAATATTAACACTGAAATTGCTAATTGGTACAACATGAATATAAACTTAACTACAACGAAGCTTTCATCTCATGACAACATTACAGTCCTACCAGATGCTTTTCATCTCCATACAGATCTGCATTCAATCTATCTGTAAATCTATCCGTAGACCACTTTAATACTGTAGCTTCACTGTGGGCAACGTAATATTTAGACCAAAAGTTACTATTTGTTTGAAATAATCTGTCTACGTAAGTTTATTTTTATAACTCTTCCCTCTTTTTCTCTATAACCAGTGTGTATTTTAATAAGCAGGGAAAAAAAGGACAACAGCAAAAGCCTTTCAAGGTTGGTGAAGCACCAGAATAGCCTAATAAGAACTGTTGTAAAATCTTAAATGCAGATTTTTAAGAACTCAGATGAACTGTCAAGGTATTGATGATCTGGCCACAGTGCAAGGACCTGTCTCTTGAGGTTTTCTCCAGGATACTAATGCTAAATCTCTAACCTACTTTTGTCAATTTAGCCATAACAGAAATATGTTATTAACAGTAAACACAAGTTAAAAAAAAATTAGGTAAAGTCTGTTCCAAATATTTGGTTTAAAGGGCTCTCTTATTACAGTAAATTACAAATCTTCAGCTTTTCAATTTTATAACACAGAGCTTTGCGCACAGGACCTAAACCCTTCCCACATACAATACAGCACAGGATAGTACTTCATTACCAAGTTAGGCAGATTTTATTTGATCAACGAGTATTGCTGCTTTTCACTGGATTATAAGAGTAATATGTGTTATACTCTACAAAAACTTAATTACTAATTCTCCAAACTATTGTCCTTGATGACATCTTTGCATATATTATCTAGGGAAGAAACATCACTTTTTAATAAATATATAATAAAAACATTCCTTTTAAGTGGTATTTGTATTTCACATGTTCATATTGTACAGAAGTTGGCAATCAAAAAAAGAACTCTTTTTTTCCCCGAGTGCCAATGGAAATGAACACATACAATGCATGACATTGGACCTGAACCCCTACGAAGTAGTTTTAATAATATTTTTCTCTGCTCTCTGACAATCATAGAATCATAGAATCATTTAGGTTGGAAAAGACCTTTAAAATCATCAAGCCCAACTGTTAACCTAACCCTGCCATCCCACCACTAAACCATGTCCCTAAGCACCTCGTCTACCCATCTTTTAAATACCT